TTATGGCTGAATAATATTCCATTACACACACACACACACACACACACACACACACGTTTTATTTATTCATTCACTTGCTGATGGAACCTTGGGCTGTTTCCAACTTTTTGCTATTATGAATAATGCTGCCATAAGCATTGGCATCTAAGTACCTATCTGAGTATCTGTTTCTACTTTTTCATTGTATATAAAAATATACACTCACATCTAGGAGTATAACTGCTAGTTCATACAGTAATTCCACATTAAGATTTTTAAGGAATTAGAAGTTGTTTTCCACAGTGACTATATCACTTTGCAGTTCCACCAGTAATGTACATGGTTTACAACTTCTCCACTTCCATACTAACATTTGTTATTTTCTATGTTTTTAATTACAGTCATACTAGTGTGAAGTGATTTCTCATAATGGCTTTGGTTTGTACTTTTCTAGTGCTACTCTCGTTGAGTATCTTTCCATGTGCCTTCTGGCCACCTGCGTAACTTTTCTAGAGAAATACATCCAAGTCCTTTGCCCAAATTTTTTACTTTTTTGCTGTAGGCATCAGTATTTTATTCTTTGTTTAATCCAAATGCTCTCAAAGTGGAAACTCAAAAGAATACTTTCCACTTGAAACACTTAAACTAGATACTGATCTCAGGGGCCCCCGATGTTGACAATTTGATCTCTGGTTCCTCTGCCTCTCTGAAACCCAGCTTGTACATCTGGAAGTTCCCGATTCATGGACTGCTGAAACCTTGCTAGCATGTGAAATAAGCGCAACTGGGTGGTAGTTTGAACATTCTTTGGCATTGCTCTTAATGCTTAACACATTACAGCAATGAAGATGGTAATTCATTTTCTTCTATACCTGCTGAAGCCAAGATGGTAAAGCTAATTTTGTGGCCAATAGTGTCATAGGATAAAATAGAATATTATGATCCAAAAGATTTAAAATTTAAAAAAAGAATACAAATTCTTATCAGATGCACAATTTACAAATATTTTCTCTAATTGTGTAATCTGTCTTTTGTTTTTATTGGTAATGCCTTTTGATGAGCAAAAGGTTATAATTTGGAGGAAGTCCAGTTCACCTATGTTTTCCTTTTGTTGCTCATGCTTTTAGTGTCATACAGAAAGACTCACCGCCAAATCCAGAGTCATGATTTACCCTTGTGTTTCCTTCTAAGAATTCTAAGCTTTTTTTTTTTCTTCATTTATTTATTTATTTTTCCCCACAAGGTCATCATTTTAACATTTGAAGACAGATTCCCTTTCCTTTTATTTTATTTTTTATTAGTTGGAGGCTAATTACTTTACAATATTGTAGTGGGTTTTGTCATACATTGACATGAATCAGCCATGGATTTACATGTATTCCCCATTCCTGTCCCCCCTCCCACCTCCCTCTCCACCCGATCCTTCTGGGTCTTCCCAGTGCACCAGGTCCAAGCACTTGTCTCATGCATCCAACCTGGGCTGATGATCTGTTTCACCCTAGATAATATACATGTTTCGATGCTGTTCTCTTGAAACATCCCACCCTTGCCTTCTCCCACAGAGTCCAAAATTCTGTCCTGTACATCTGTGTCTCTTTTTCTGTTTTGCATATAGGGTTATTGTTACCATCTTTCTAAATTCCATATATATGCGTTAGTATGCTGTATTGGTCTTTATCTTTCTGGCTTACTTCACGCTGTATAATGGGGGAATTCTAAGCTTTTACCTCTCATATTTATGTCACTGATCCATTTTGAGTTAATTTTTATATATTTAGTGTGAGGCAGTGGTCAGTGAATTGCCTTGCATTTTTGTTATCATCAGATGCCATCAAGAAAATGAGAGAACGTACAATGGAAGGAAATTTTTGCAAATCACATGTGAAATACAAGAGATGTTCTCTTTAAATCATGAATTATCTAGAAGTAGATTCATTTAGTTTCCAAGTGTTTGGAGATTTTCTGATTTGTGATTCATTTGTGATTCATTTCTAGTGTGATTCTTTTGTGGTCAGAGAACTCATTCTGTATGTTTTCAGTACTTTTAAACTTGTTGAGGTTTTTTTTTTTT